TTCTTTCTAGGTAAAGGACAAATAAAAATACATACAGGGATGGAAATTGCATCCAAATTTTTGGCTTGCCATTCTTTTTGCATGTATATATGTGGACTTGTCAATACTATATTGGATCTGAATTCTGGTCTGGTGTGACATACAGTTAAATGATTCTTATTAGGACTAACATTTGTTCACTTGGTTCCAAATTTTGATGCTATAACTATTCAATGTTTAATTGAAATCCTCAACATATGAAAAGTTAATAATAAAAAAAAGGTTATGATTGTGTTTTGTTGGTAAAGAAGCACTTCAGCTGGCCTTGAGGCAGTTCTCCTTATAATGCAAAATGGGTTTATTCTTCAGACCACAAGTGAATATTCAGAACACAAGGAATGCTTTTCTTTTTTTGGTTGGAAAATATAAGGATGATTGAGAATTGAAAAACTGAAATACAAAAAGGGGATGAAAATTGGCAGCTGTATGGTCCTATGCAAGGTGTGATTGGTATTTACAGGAAATAAAAGAAAAGTGCGATTAGTAAATCCTAAAACACATTAACACAAAAATTAACCTGGTGAAATTATGTTTGGCAAATAAGAAAAGACCAGGTAAAATTATGTCAGTAACTCGTTTTTGTATGAAGCTATGTGTACCAATCATGTAAACTTACCGTCACGTTATTTTATTAAAGGGGATATCCGATTAAAGAACTGTTATTTACAGTCTAAAATAATAATCGCACAAATCTCTATATGAAAAAAAAAATACAGAATAATTATTTTGAAGCGTAAATAGCAATTTCTTTCCTATCATCACATTATAATAAATAACAACTACGGCAGTACAAGACTTTGATCTGATGAAATAAAGGCAACGTTTTTGTCATCACTCGTCATCCGTATCTCATTTTCTCAATTCTCAATTCTCAGGAGAGTAGAAACGATTCAATTCATATGACGACCTTTGCATTAATACCAACAAAGAAAGCAACGAACTTTCACTGATTCTCTCTCGATAAAGCCCAAGTTTTCGAAGCGAAGGCAAACCTTTCACCTCTTTTGCTATCGGCGGAGAAATGGAGTCATTCAACAAGATAAAGGTGACCAACCCAGTTGTCGAAATGGATGGTACGCCTTCTCTACAGTCGCATGCACTCTCTAATGCCTATTTTCGGCAATTGTTTCTTGTGTTCTGTTGCTTCTTCCCATTGAAAATTAAGAATTGCTCTGCTTCTTTGAATGATGTCTGTAATCTTGAATTGATAAACATAATACAAATTATCAAATCACCGTATTTGGATGGATACCATGGATCAGACCATGCCCTTCAAGCTAAGTTTTAGAGACAACCCAACACTTATGTTCCATAAAACTAGATGATCTTCTTAGCATTACATATTCAGGCCAATTTGAGGGCCTTCCAGTCTTACCCACCACTACTATGATTCTTCTCAGTTGAGCTTTTTTCAAGTATGTTTAAATGATTAGAATTCAATTTTGTTCATTTAACCAAATTGCGTGGCCACTACTTTAGTACTTAGATACAACATCTAATTTGCGATGCATATATTTGCCTTAGCTGTGCAATCTATATCTGTGTCATTGAACTGTCCATCACAATATTTGTCCATGTATTTCTAGTTAAGAACTTATACAGATTTGTTCAACATCTTGTTATCTCTGGTTTTCTATGATGCATATTTCCATTATGCAGGAGATGAAATGACTCGAATTTTCTGGAAATCGATAAAAGATAAGGTAATTGTGTTATCATGGCAGCTCCTATGATTTCATGTTCATAATGAATCTGCAACTTGTTTTAATGTTCTGCAGCTTATCTTTCCCTTCCTGGAGTTGGATATCAAGTACTTTGACCTTGGCCTACCTAATCGTGATGCCACCAATGATAAAGTCACAATTGAAAGTGCTGAAGCTACTCTTAAGTATGCCCCATCATTCTCCCTTCATGGTTCCTTTGTTAGACTGGAGTACTCTCAAAGAATTCTATTGTTTTATCTTTATTTTAGTTATGGTTGCTTTCTCTTTTGATTTAGTCTGCTTGTTTTCACTGGCACAAGTATGACGTGTTTAAATGGGCTCAGCAAAACATGACACAGTCTATGCTTTGTCATGCTTAGCATGGAATGTCAGCAAAACATGACAGTCTATGCTTTGTCATGTTCTTTTGAGACCAATAGCATATTTGTTAAAGCGCTAAACCAATTTCTTTTCATGAAAAGAATGTATCACCTGTTGATGCCACTTTATTTTCTTTATATAATTTACTCCTTTTTTTCCCCCTTGTTATTGTAGGTACAATGTTGCAATAAAGTGTGCAACTATAACTCCAGGTATATACCCAAATTCCTAATGGAAGGACAGTGTGCATTTTCCCTTGAATACATGGATTACTTGGCCTTTTCAATGGACACGATTCGGCTAACATGCTATTGTGATGATCTGAATCTTTTCATTTGGATTTTAATAGATGAGACTCGTGTTAAGGAGTTCAACTTGAAACAGATGTGGAGGAGTCCAAATGGGACAATACGGAACATTTTAAATGGTCAATATAATTTTCCCCTAATTTTAACATTTACCACTACATGTTCTGTTTTTTATTGGTTGTAAGTAGCCAATATATTTTCCGTGTTCTGCAGGTACTGTTTTTAGAGAACCAATTATCTGCAGAAATGTTCCCCGACTTGTTCCAGGTTTGCTATAATTTTCATCTAAATTTGCCTTCATAACAAAGAAAAATACCAATGAGTTAGTGTTCTTTCCAGGTTGGACAAAGCCAATATGCATTGGGAGGCATGCTTTTGGTGACCAGTACCGAGCAACTGATGCAATCATAGAAGGACCTGGAAAACTTAAAATGGTTTTTGGTATATGATTATTTTCAGTAGAGAGCCTCAAATTTTGTGCGTTTTACTTTCGACAGCTGCTTGCTAATATCAGAGAAGTTGAAATAGCTAATTTTGACTCACCCATCATATATTTTGAATATTCTTCTTTTCAATACTTCAGTAGATTATTTATATTATCAAGTTATTTGCAGTACCTGATGGGCCCAATGAGAAGACAGAGTGGGAGGTTTACAACTTTACTGGTGCTGGAGGCATAGCTTTGTCCATGTATAACACGGATGAGGTTCAAACTTGCCCTTACAAAAATTCTGGTAACTTAGTTACTGGTGTAAGTCAGTTACTAAAGGTTTTAACAGATATTGCTTTTTATGTTTAAATTGTGAGAGCAGTCTATCCGTGCTTTTGCTGAGGCTTCCATGAACACTGCCTATCAGAAAAAGTGGCCACTATATCTTAGCACTAAAAATACTATTCTGAAGAAATATGATGGAAGGTATGCTGTTGCCATGCTGCTTTTCTTCCTTCATTGTGTAATCTCTCTCTTTTTGTTCTTTCTAAGTTTCCATCAATGGAAAAGGAAACAACTAATCCCCCTCACATACCTTGGAGCGCATCTGTGTGCATGCACACACAAAAGAGAAAGAGACAGAAGGGAGCTATGAGATGCTCATAAAATACCTGTATTTCATATACTGACCCTCAATGTTTCACTACAGGACTTCTTTTTCTTGTCATTTTCTTACACTTTAATTTTTAATGAAGATTCAAGGACATCTTCCAGGAAGTTTATGAAGCTCATTGGAGATCCAGATTTGAGGCTGCAGGGATTTGGTGAGATACCTTGCCAAGCAAGCGGATTAGTTCGCATAGTTTCAGTGATTTTCAATTGATTAATATTCTTTTGCAGGTATGAACACCGTCTTATTGACGATATGGTTGCTTATGCTCTCAAAAGTGAAGGAGGTTATGTTTGGGCATGCAAAAATTATGATGGGGATGTGCAAAGTGACTTCTTAGCCCAAGGTCTGTATATTTTATTGTGTTGAAACCCTGTGAATGCTGCTTTTGTTGAAAGCAAATCGAAAGGTGCTTGTTCTCGGATATAGCCACCATGTTTGCTAATTTTTTGACCTTCTAATAAACTTTGAAACAGGCTTTGGATCTCTGGGGCTGATGACATCTATACTGGTATTTCTGTGGTGATTTTTTTCTGTCTTATCTTACACTTTGCCTGTGGAGTTGGATGCATGAAAACCTGTTTTGGTTCCAGGTGTGCCCAGATGGAAAGACCATTGAAGCTGAGGCAGCCCATGGTACAGTAACACGCCATTACCGAGTTCACCAAAAAGGGGGTGAAACCAGCACAAACAGCATAGCTTCTATCTTTGCTTGGTCCCGAGGTCTTGCACACAGGTATAATATCAATATGGCTCAAGTCTGTTAGATGAGTGCTCCTACCTCTCATTGTGTGGGGAAAGGTGCGGGGGTTTAAAATTTTGATGTGTTCAGAAGTTGAAAACATCAGATAAGAGTTTTGAGTAATTCTGTATTATCAGGGCAAAGTTGGATGGCAATGAGAGACTCTTGGATTATACGGAGAAGCTTGAAGCAGCCTGTGTTTCGACTGTCGAATCTGGGAAGATGACCAAGGATCTTGCACTCCTTATCCACGGGCCTAAGTAAGTGCTGTCAAAAGTTTCATTTAAAAGTTTCAGTAGTCTTTTCTTTGTATTTGTCTATGATAAAATGCTTCAATTTTTGTGTAGGGTCACTAGGTCTAAGTATCTGAATACCGAGGAGTTTATTGATGCTGTGGCTGAGGAGGTGAGAGTGAGATTGTTTAGCAGAGCAAAGTTGTAAACTCTTGGTTGCTATGCAGCTTTTTTCTTTTTTGACATGTTTAAGTCATTGGTATTTTTCAAAAATAAATAAATGAATAAGCTCGTATTGATGTGCCTTCAAAATCCTCGGGTGGTCTTTTTCTGTCATCCTAAACTGAGTAATAAAACCCACAATGCCATTGATCACATTGGCTGACCCTTTCTCCCATCTATTTTAACTTCTTCAATTGTACCAGTGTCACACTAGTATTATGACATAGTTTGAGGCATCTTACAATGGCCACTTCACTCATGAACCACTCCGTTTTATTATTTGGAAATATCACCATGCTTATAAAACACAATAACAAGGTATGTGATATTTATAGTATAACCTGTTTTTAAAAGGAGATATCTCCAAATTTCAGTTTAATTGCAGATTAAAAATACATCAATCTTGATTCTACTTGTAGACCATGAATGGTGGTATACCTTAAATACTCTTCTACAAAATTTCAAGTATTAGGCAGCTTGGCATCACCATCGTCTGGTGACCAGTCACAAAATAAAGCCCTGCCATGGGACTGTGATCACAATTCCTCATCTTCTTTCATATCATGACATTTTTATTCATATCCAAGGCAAGTTGCCAACCCAATGGGTAAAGCATAATGCAAGACAAAAAGCAGTGCAAAAGTAGCAACTTTCTCCACGGTTTGCGCATTCCATGTATCCTAGGACTTGCTGCACAAAGCTTATGCAGAAGTTGACCTGCAAAAGTACACCTCAAAGCTCAGGTTTTTTCCTTTTTTTTCTATCTTGACGTGTTAAAGAAAATACAGACCACAAACAATGAGTTGGGGACTACAATGAACAGTATCAGGCGAATAAATCACTGCAATGAACAAAGAATATCATCTGCCATTCACTAAAGAATGAGCACATGCTGATAGTACTGTACGGAAAAAAATTTATGCCGGTAAAGCACTTACTCCCACACGCATGGCCAGAGTTCAATTCTCACTTTCCCCTTCCCCTGGATCAGAAAAGGAAAAAAAAAACACTAATCCCATCATTTTGAAGTCCCTCACCTTAAAGTCCCATCATTTTGAAATCCCCTCACTTCAAAATTCCATCATTTCAAAGTACCTCATCCAAACACAACCTTAACTCTTGCTAAATGACTAAACAAACTGCAAAGCATAATAATAGTCCTGCAATCAAGTGCTTTAGATGGAAAACAAGCTAGAAAAAATCATGACAAGGATCAATTAAAAAAAATTTCTCGTGCACTATTAGCGAATACCATATATATATTACCGAAACAAATAAGCAAGCCATGTATGAAACTAGAACTGTGTATATGAATACTTTGCAACTCTTATCCAATATAGATTAATCATTTGCAAAGGTGTATTATACCTACGCATGATTCACTTCCAGGTGACCTGCCAACAAAGCTTTCTTCTTCTCCAGCTAGGGGCAGGCAAGGTGGCCCAGTGTACAAGGCTCCTGCCAATGGGGCTGGGAGGGATAGATGTTATATATCCCTGTTTCCCTGACCACTAAGTCACTTTCAGCAAGGCATAACCCGTTCAGTGGTGGAATCAAATGTTATCCATCAAAATGAAACAAGAAAAGCTGCTCGATCTGCAAAAGCAAAAGTTATATGGATGAGAAGAAGGCAGAAGACAAGCTAGAAAAAAAAAAAAAAAAAAAAAAAAACGGGACAGACAATATGATAAAATAGTCTCTTGTACGATTAGCTAAATGGCAGATCACATATGTTATAGAAACAAACAGGAAAGTCATGTATAAAACTAAAACTATGCATATGATAACTTCGCAACTCCTATGCGGTGTAGATTAATCAAATGCAAAGCTGTATGATTACCTAGGCATGATTGACTTCCAGGTGACCTGCAAACAAAACTCTCTACCTATCCAGCTCGGGGTGGGGCGAGTGGCCCAGTGCTCAAGGCAGTTGACAGTGTGGGGTCTGGCGTATGCATATCCCTGTCTCCAGCTGTGGAATAATTGTTATCTATCAAAAGGGAACAACAAAAGCTGTTCATTATGCAAGCCCATGCAAATTATCTACATTATTGAATAGGAAAGTTACCATGCTATACCATTAGGGGCTTCATAGATTCACAGCTCATGCATCTATCCAGGCACTGATAATCAAACAGCATTCTTACTTCCGAAACTGCACTTTCTTGGCTTTTAGGATTCCATGTTGTAGAACCAAGAGTGTACGGGTATCTGGCTGTATTCCCTTCGAAGACATCTCATTAACAAGGGTTACAGCCTTATCCACATCTCCCCTATTACAACAGCCAGACAGAAGAGCTGTGTATGTCACTGTATCAGGTTCTAATCCTCTGTTAGTCATTTCATCAAAGAGTGCAATAGCATCCTGAAGGTTGTCTGTTTTACACTGTCTGTCTATCAAAACAGTATAACAAATTACATCAGGTCTTATTTCCATTTCCTTCATCTCAGTCCAAAGAGTGAAAGCATTCATCCTTTCCTTCTTATCTCCACTTGCGCCTGGAGGGGAGTGAACCCTTCTTAGGTTTCTTTTTGAATAACTATCAAGCAAAACTGTGTAAGTGATGATATCAGGTTGAATCCCTTTCCTTTTCATATCATAGAAGAGATCATGGGCTTCCTGCAAACAATTCACCCTGCAGTAGCTATTTATCAACATTGTGTAGTTAATGACATCAGGAGCGAATCCTCTCTCAACTAAAGTATCAAAAAACCAATGGGCCTTTTTCACCTCTCCAGCTTTGCACAGAGAAGCTATGACTTTGTTGTACATAGTTTTTCTAGGTTCCACATTTAAGGCCAACATTGACTCGAGCAATAAAATAGCTCTGTCATTATCACCTTCAACACAAAGGTTACTGAGTACTTTAAAGCAAACACCTTTTTTAACTAAAGTTCCTCCCTTTGCCAACCTAATAAGAAGTTCATAGGCTTTTCTTGTATCCTTGGCTTCACAGTACCCACTGATCATGGCAGAATAGGTATCAACGCTCTTATATTCCAAACTCTTTATAAATGCTTCAGCTTGTTTGACTTTTCCTCCTATACATAAATTTTCAATTATCATGTTGTGTGTAACAGAGTCTGGTTTAAAACCCTGTGACTCCATATAATCCAAAAGGTCAAGTGCTTCAGCTCCCAAGCCATTTCTAGAAAACCCAGCAGCAAGTACATTGTAAGTAGTATTGTCTGGCTTTAGACCTTTTTCCTTCATTTCCTCCAAAAGATTTACAGCATTAACAACATTCCCCTGAAGACAGTAGCCTTTAATCAATGTGGTGTAGTGCATAATATCTAAGATCATATGCTTACACTTCATCTCTTCAAGCAATTCTAAGGCTTGGTCCACTTTCCCCAGCTTGCACAAAGCATCCACAGCGATATTGTAGGAAACCTCATCAAGATAGATCCCCAAGCTCTTATATTCTAAGAAATAATCCACAGCTTCAGAAGGCAAGCCCATCTTACACATGCACTGAAGAATAAAACTAACAATCACACAATTTGTTTTTATACCCTTCGACACCATGTCATTATGGAGTGTCAAAGCTTTTAACAAAAAACGATTCTTGCAGTATCCACAGATTATTGCACCATATGTACAAGAATCAGGGACCACCCCTCTCTTTTCCATATCAAGAAAGATGCTTTCAGCTTCATCAAATTTAATCTCATCACAGAACCCACGAATGACAGTGTTGTAAGCATAGACATCAATATGGACATTTGCCCCATTGCATGCTTGGAGCACTTGATATCCTAAATCCGACTTACGATTGGTGCAAAGTCCTTCAATATATGCTGTGTAGGCAAAGGCGCTAGGGGTTACCCCAGCTTTCTCCATCTCCTGAAACACGTCCACAGCCTCTTCCAAGCTACCTTTCTTGCAAAGTCCCTTGATGACAATTGCGTAGGTGTAATCATTAGGGCTCAAACCAATCCGTTTCAACTGCTTGTATATAGCCACAGCCATATCCACTTTACCATGCTCAATCAAGCGGTTCATTAAAAAATTACTAGTAAAGACATGCGGCACAAACCCACGCCTTTTTGTTTGAAACAAAACATCGATAGCCTCATCAAACATGTTCAAACTGACAAAAGACTTGAGCAATGCATCATAAGCTCGAACCATCGACGGGGAAGCCTCAATTCCCTCCGCAATGGTTTCCAACAAATCCGAAAACTGAAATCCAAGGTCTTTAGAGCTCCTAATAAGGTCCAAGAAGAGAATATCCAGCTTCCTATACAAACCCCACGAGCATAAAATTCTAATAAGCGCGGAATAGGTGAAGACATCGTGTTGGAAGCCATCTCCCTTCAACTGGTGGAAGAAGGAAAATGCCAAATTGGGTTCGTTTCTTAGACTGTTGAGGTTGCTAACAACCCCAAAGGTATCTAATTGAGAGAAGAAATGGGTTGCATCGGAGTTATTGGAGTTGGTGTTTGTGGTGCAAACAGTAACATAATTGTCATCAGATTCATCAGAAGGGGATGACCAGGAGTTCCAGTGAGAAAGAGCCGTTTGGGAAGACGCCCACTTGAAACCACCAACACTAGCACCACCATAGATGAACATCAAATGATTGCGATTGTTTTGTGTGGGTTGAATGCGTTTTCTGGGAAAACCCAGTCTAATGGACGAAAGCCACATACACATGGAAGATTCAGACTCATTGCAACAACGCCTTCATGTAGTTCAAATTAAAGAGAATCGAGCAATTGGAAAGAGAAATCTTACTTGGCATTCATCATTGAAGCTTAAAGCTTTGGCTTCGTGGTTTTCTTTTGCTCATACAGACTGAGTCACCGACTCGGAGGTTTTGAATGATTTACTCTGAACAGCTTAAGCTTCTTTCTGCTAAAGCCTAAAACCCTACTAAAGAATCAACTTCCCCACCAGTAAACCCCGCCCACACAAACCGGGTCGGTTCACAAGGCCTCTCGTTAACCTTATCTTCTTTTCCTTTTTTTCTTGGGTAATGATTTTCCCACTCCTATTTTATCCACTTACACTCATTTTTTATAAAAAGGAGTGTAAGTGGATAAAATAGGAGAAATAGGAGTGGGAAAATCACCACTCTTTTTCTTTTGGTTCTCAACAAAATTTATTTTATTATTGCAACGGGACCGACCCAGTTATTATATCACATCGCTAAACAAATTTAGGGAACCGGCAAAAGTAACTTTATAATACGGTCACATAAAATAAAAAACTTTATAATACGGTCCAGAAAAAATATATATATAAATTTAATGCACGCAATAGTCTCTAAATTACATGAGGAGGAAAGGTTTCTCACACACACATTACATTGACTAAAATGTTTTTTTTTTTTTAAGTACATCTAGACTTTATCCTAAAACCTACTTCCTTTGCCGCTTGAACTCAAGCTTTTTTGGGTTCTGTTGGGATGTAATAAATTTTTATTAAAAGGGATGAATAATTATATTTTAAATTTTTTTTCTTTTTATCAAGCGATATTAGATAAGCGGATATTTCGAATGGTAAATGCTCTTATCACAACCACTAGAATTACAAGTTCCTACTTTTAGATAATGGTGTGGGATTTTTATTTTCCTCTGTTTTGAGAACTTGTATAAATTTTCAAATGATTCAAATTAAAGTTAATCAAGGACTGAACATGCAAAGAATTTGACTTCCTTTCTTTTTTTTCTTATTTTG